CTGTCTCTCTCTGTCCCCCCCCCAAAAAAAAATAAATAAACGTTGAAAAAAAAAAAAGAAATCCTTATGGGATACACAGGTTTAATGGAGCTGACCTCAGTTTTGTTCACACTGACTCCAATGAGTTGCATATGGGTTTCCTATGCTTGACCTTGCTCAATCGCTACTGTTGCCCTTGGTTGGTTCTCTTTCAGGATCAAGGTGGGTGCTTTCATGTAAAATCTTAGTTTTAATTCCTTCTCTGGCAGTTCTTTCACAGATTCTTAGCTTTGCATAATTATACCCACAGTGGAACCAACATCATCACATCACCAAGATAAATCCTCCTACTCCAACATGATCTTCTGCTTGTTAACAAAATATGTCCAAGGCAAGCCACAACAGATCCTAATGAACCATGCAATATTGAATCCCATGCATAGGGAATGTTTTCAACATTAAAATTCCTAGGAGCTTAGGGGCACATGGGTGTCTCAGGCAATTGAACGTTCGACTCTTGATTTTGGCTCAGGTCATGATCCAGGGGTAGTAGGATCTCTCTCCCTCTGCCCTTCCCCCCTACTGGCACATTCTCTCTAAAATAAAAAATAAATAAATAACATAAATAACTTAACAAATATAATATAAAAAATAAAATAAAATCCCTAGGAGTTTAAAGGGCTGGGATAAAATTAAAAAGAACCTTGCCCTTGGCAGGCTCACAGGGCTTAGGTCAGGCAGTCCTGGGCTCCAGCGGGTGTTTTCCTCTTTAATACCATCCCAACGTCTTTTTGCATCCAGTGTTTCAGTTACAAATTCAGTCAATCTTTCTGTCTGGAAGCTTTTAGAATTTTCTCATTACCTTTGATCTTTTAAATTTTTGTTATATTGTATCTAAAAAGGGTTTTTCCTTCTCTTGCCGTGGGATATTATGGATCCTCTGTAGATTTTCATTCTGAGATTCATCTCTTTGTTTCTATAATACTTTCCTCCTCTCTGTTTTAATTTTTTCTTTTTTTTTAATTTTTTATCTTTATTGATTTTTGAGAGAGAGAAAGAGACAGACAGAGCGCCAGCAGGGAGAAAGAGGGAGACACAGAATCGGAAGCAGACTCCAGGCTCCGAGCTGTCAGCACAGAGCAAGATGCGGGGCTCAGGGCTTGAACTCATAGACCAGAGATTGTAACCTGAGCCAAAGTCAGACACCCAACCCACTGAGCCACCCAGGCGTCCCTAATTTTTTTCTCTTTATGAAATTCCTATTGTCTCTATTTAGGCACTTCTCTCCCCAGTATCTTTTGACATCTCTATTTTCTTTTTCTTCTTTTTAAATTTTTTAATGTTTACTTATTTTTGAGAGAGAGAGATAGGGTATGAAGAGGGAAGGGGGCAGAGAGAGAGGGAAACAGAAGCAGTCTCCAGGCTCTGAGCTGCCAGCACGGACCCCAAGTGGGGCTCAAACTCACGAACTGTGAGATCATGACCTGAGTTGAAGTCGGAAGCTTACCCAACTGAGCCACCCAGGCGTCCCACTGACATCTCTGTTTTTAATTTTGTTTAATCTAGGAGAGTTTGTCAGTGTAGTCCTCCCACTTACTCATTTGTTTTTCCACTGTATGTCTCCACTATTTATTCCCGTTGGTGGGTTTTTTTTTTAATTTTTTTTTTAACGTTTATTTATTTTTGAGACAGAGACAGAGCATGAACGGGGGAGGGTCAGAGAGAGGGAGACACAGAATCTGAAACAGGCTCCAGGCTCTGAGCTGTCAGCACAGAGCCCGACGTGGGGCTCGAGCTCACGGACCGCAAGATCATGACCTGAGCCGAAGTCAGCCGCTTACCCGACTGAGCCACCCAGGCGCCCCTGGTTGGTGGGGTTTTTATTTTGACTTTTACATTTGTTTTCATGCCTAGGACTTTTTATAGCTTTCCCTTATTCCCTATGTTTTTTCACATTATAATAGCGTTTCTTATTTTTTAATGCACTTTTCGTGCTCATTTTATGTGGCTGTTCTATATTTTCTAATACTTCTTTAAGGACACATATGGGCCTGTTTGTTGTTTTTCTTTTGGGTGTGGAAGTCCCCAAAGGGAGGGAGTTATTATTTTGGACTGAGAGTGCCCGTCTGTGTCAGTATCATGAATGTAAAGAGAGGGAAGGGCTGGAGTCCTAGGACAGCACAAAACCAATTACCACCCTTTTAATGTCACCTTGCTGGTGACAGTTCAGGTCAGGGCTTCAGGATAAAAAAGTGCTGGAAGAGGCCAGTCCTCTCTCTTAGGGACCCAGCCCTGGGGCTGGTAGATAGAGTGCTAAAGAGTGAATGGCTATGGCATCAGGGGCACCTATTGTCCCGGCCCCTCCCCACCCCAGCAGGGATTTCAACCTAGACTTTCTCCCCAACCCTCTACAGCAGTATGAGCAATCAGGATCTCACCACTGTTTTTTGCATTGTGGGGCAAACAATAATTATTCAAGCCCAATGCTGGGGAAGAGCAAAAACAGGTTGCTTCTAATGAATCTTGTCACAACAAGCAACCCACCCTAAAACAATAGACAGTGCCATTAGGGATTCCCACTGGTTTCCC